AAACCTTCTACTTCCTTCATATTTTACAGCATAAAGGTCCCATCTAACTTTCCACAGCTACCAAAACCTACCCACCAACTCCCTTAAAAGAGGCAATGTTCTGTCAAGAATGTCTGCCTACCTGTTCCCGAGCAGCCAGAGCTGTTTTTCCTGGGAAGTTCTTGCTGCAGCCAATGGTTTTGGGTATTTGCCTGGGTTTAACTGGATCATGTTCAATCCCCCGGCACATGGCATATAGCCAAGATCTAAGAAAGCAGCAAAAAAGTTTAAGGTGAAAGCAAATGATTATTCTTGTTAAAACAAAATACCTATATTATACTACCTTTTATCCCTTTCATGAAAAAGGAAAAATTTGTTCAAAATTAAGTACACCTCACCCGTAACAGAATCCTTGCCCTTCCCAATGAATTCCAGTAATGATAAATTGCCAAGGAGAACACATTATGCTTTCTAAAGCCAAGTCATCATTTGTGTTTTTGGAAAAGTGCCAACTAAGCCACATATTTCATATCCCCAAGTATTTTTGGTACTTAGTAAGCATAAATACAAGGATTTTTAAGAGAACAACAGCATCTTAGCACACATAAATGTTGTACATGTGTATATCAGAGCTTCAGAGTAACAGTTCCTATCTACCAACCTATTTAGGCACGTGAAAAAAACTAGACTAATAGGTTATAATGATTTAATATTTTAAAGCAAAAGGACCAATGCAATTACCTCGAGGAGCAAATATTAACCCAAAGATAGGTCTAGATTTTACCTGATGCTCTTGTCTACATTTGAATTTAGCATATCCATAAAGGTTATGATTGAAAAGTATTAGGAATCACTTACCCGTTCTTCTCCCCAAAATGACTCTGGAGCTGGGATTCAGTGAACTGGGTCAGTTCTCCCATGTATTCTACCCCCAGGATTTCAATGACAGAAGCCCCTAGCTTTCCTCCAAGACTACGGCTAACAACAACCAAAAAAAGACAAAAGATTTATAGGTCACATCATAAATATCTAGTTAGCAGTAGATGCAAAACATTTTGCCTGTATAAGAAGCTCTCCAGAAAGTTCAGGGAAAATGAGAACACACACTGGTCCTGTAAACTATTGATTTTCTAGCATAAGACTAGACGACTCTGGGAATTCAGTACTCTGGAAGTTAGGGCCTGGCAAGAAGACTAACCATAGCATAAACACAAGGGTAAAGTCATTAATTAGTTATCAAGTCAACTGTGTATAAAACTTTCAATTGTACAGGATCTACTGTCCCATTTAGGGATTAAAATTCCACCTCCAAAACAAACTCCTTCCATAGCTAAAACATTTTATATTTAAGAATATAGTAAAAAAAAAAAAAAAACTCTTCAGCTTGGCCTTTGAGATGTCTAATAATCTGTCCTCAACCTCTCTGTTCAGTCCTTTTTCCATCACTTATCTTCCTCAATATGATCCCAGTTCACTGGAAATATATTTTCTCCCTCTTGGTGCTCAAAACAGTCTCCAAATTGGTATTTCTCTTCTATTCTCATCTGACTCTCTGAATTGTGCCAATCTCAAAACAAAATCCCATGTCTTTTTCATAAGTCCTTCTCAGATGACTCTTATGAACTTTGGTAACTACCTGTACAATTCATTTAGCAGTTACTCACATATAGTCTTGATGATAGCACTTTCACTATTGCTTTGAACAGATATATCTTGTCCCTTCAACAATATTATAAGCCCGTGTCAAGGACACACTATTGGTATGCACAACCTAGTTATTAATTTTATTTGGGAGCAATTCAGTAGCCCTGAACAGCTTGATACGCTACTAGAACAAAGAAAAGAAGTAAAATTCCTATTTGTTATTTAGTAACAGGCTTGAGTAAAAAACCTAGAAGGAAGTTAAACATATGGCTAAAAAACAGTTCATTTTTTTAAAATTCAGGATTAAGTATCTTCCACAGATAATCCGGAATTGAAAGTTCATTAAGAAAAAAATCTCAGCATGTTTGTAAAATTTTCTGTGTCATCTCCCTCCTGTCCCCATGGTACCTATTTTCCCTGGCTCCAATCCTTAAGGAACAGAAGAAACTACAACCAGAGACGGCCTTCACATATATAGAAGTGAAATCTAAGGTGCTCCCTGAATACTTACATTTTGCTAATAGGCACTTGGCTGAAGAGCTGTGGGACTGACCCATGTGAGACCAGGGTCTGCCGGTTGGGCTTGTTTAGTCCACAGGCCAGCTTTGCCAGAACCTGGAGCATGGAAAGTATAAAAACCCCATTACTGTCAACACCCACACACAGAGTTGGTGAATATTAACACACACATATACACGCATATACACGGCACAGCTTAAGGGCTGTAACTAATGGTTTCCACGTTAAAAACAAAAACAAAACCAGAAACTCAAGACATCTCCAAAGCTTGGTGTCCCACAATATCCACAGTGGAAAACATGACCCACTATCATTATCCTCATTGTTCTTTCCACATCTTCCATTCTCAGTCTTTCTTTAGTCATTTATTCCACCCTCATCTATTCCTTAAGGTTTTCCTATTTCAAGAGGGTGAAAAAGTAGAGAAGCTACAGAAGAGACTTAAGATGCATTTCTTAGTATGTCCATATGAAAATGCTAAAACAAACTCATTTTACCCTACTCCATTTATATACATTTCTTGATTAATGGTTAGTCCATTCTGAGTCCCGGATTTAATACAGATTACCATCATTTAGCATCTGTGACAAAGACTGGGCTCGAAGTCATTGTCCAATAGCAAACATCTTATATTAAATAAGACTTCAAAATGAAAAAACCCTTGAGAAGTCTTTTCAAAGAATAAGGTACTTCAGTGGTATCATTTAACAACTTATAATTGGTAGGAAAAATATAAAATCACTCTTCAAATTCATTGGAGATTCCCTGAAACTTCTACTAGGCCACATTTAGTCTAGTTTAAATTATTACATTGAGACTTTTGTTTCCCCTCCCTCCACCTAACCAGAAAAAAAAAACAACCAAAAACTCTACTGAGCAGTTTGGCAACTTTCCTCTTCTTGGGAATTCCCTGGCGCTCCAGTGGTTAGGACTCGGTGCTCTCACTGCCGTGGGCTGGGGTTTAATCCCTGGTTGGGGAACTAAGATCCCACAAGCTGAGCAGTGCAGAACTTTCCTCTTCTTGAGTGAGGGAGAAAAGGTAGTACCTAGGAATAATCAGCCACTGCCCAACTACTGAGTCTACACCAAAGGGGATGAAGATCCCAGGGCCACACTGCAGTTTAATCAAAAAGCACAGAACAACACCCAGAACTCCACATAAGAAGTGAGATAATACTAGAAAATTCAGCAACCGAAAAGGAAAGAAATAGGTTCCTACTAGCCTCCTCCTTTCTTTGTTTGCTTGCAGGATCTTAGTCCCCTGACCAGGGATTGAACCCAGGGCCCCCGGCAGTGAAAGCGCCGAGTCCCAACCACTGGACCACCAGGGAAGTCCTGCCTCCTCCTTTCTTTGGATAGTTCAGTCATTAAGGAAATACTGTGGATACAACTATGTAAATAACCATTTCCAGCAAAATTTTCAGCCTGCTTCTTAGGAAAGTACATGTGTAATGTCAATTCCCATGATAAAGAATTACTTAGGTTTTTATGTGGTCTTCACCGTGAAGTTTAAGTAGAAACCCATTTCAAAGTATATGTGTAATGATTTAAATGCCCACTCATATCTATCCTGGCTGTTTGTTTTTTGTTTTGTTTTTGTTTTTCTTTTTTTTGTTTGTTTCTATGCCTGCTGTGTTTAACTACAGATATCTGTGTTTCTCTTCGAAATCTACTATTAGCCTTCACCTTATTGTGTGAAATCCCAGCTGAACACTGAAAACCAGTCTGCCTCTCTATGGCTGCTCTCATTTCCTCCACGATCACTGCTCCCACAGTGAGCTGTAGGTCTGGAGAGGTGGTGTTATCAGTCTGAAGAGAATCAAGCCATTGCAATAAGCCTTGTTTTCGCATTTCCTCTGAAAAGTTGAGAGGTAACAGTTAGACTTCTTTTTTTAAAAAATCAGGGTTTTATTTGTGTTATCTAATGCAGAGATGCTTAGATTTCAGGTACTTTACATATGTAGGTTTTCACCAAAAATGGCAGCCGTTTTAGAAGACTATTCAGTATCACAACAGAGATAAATTTCTCCTTCATACCAATTCTAGCAGCCTTATCTCCCAGCATTGGCTGAACCTTATAAGCTCTAATAAGCAACAAATATTTTGTATTGTCTTTCATGAGTAATGATTTAAAAGTACATCTGTTTTCTCTCTCCAGTTTTTGAACTTTCTTCTTCCAACTTCCCTTGCACATCACCAAGAATTCTATTAAGTTACTCAATTAGAAAATACTCAGAATTATCACACGCTTCAGTATAAACTTGTTAGCATTTATGTATTTTTAGAGACTGGTTCCAGTTGAATAGCTTAAGTCCAATCAGAGGCACTAGAAGATTTATTCTCTTGACAAACTATTTAAATTAGAAGTAGCTTTGTACCTTAGGGCTTTGAAAATACCTTACTATCCAATTTAGAACTAGTCACAGTTTTGAAAAACATTTTAAAAGTATTATATAACAAGGAAGTTAGGAAATATACACATGCTGTTTTAAAGAGGCTGTAATGAGGTATGAACAAGGCAAGAAAATTCAAAATATCTTGGAAAGGCAGAGTGAAGGGTCACATATATGGAGAAGAGGAGGAAGATGAGCACATAGAAGGAAGTATTTTCCAGCTATTGAGGGCTGCTGTTTCTTTCCTTTGCTGGTCTATCTCCCTCCTCTAACACCGTAACTGCAGATACGGAGCAACGTTCTCCTCTTCTCTGTATATATGCTTTTTCTCTTGGTAAACTGGTACTGGCTTATGTTTCAAATTGTTTATGCTAAGTACATGCAAATCTTAATCTCTATCCCCAAACTCTTAACTTTAATCCCTTATTTCTACCTCCCTACAGAAAAAGTCTTCTTGAATTTTTCATTACAGTATCAAACAAAATACTACTAAAGTCAACCTTTATTATATCTTCCTCCCCAAAGGTTCTCTTTCCCAAACAACTCCCTATTTCTCTTAAAGGTTTAAAATCTAATATTGGCTTCTTTTTTTTTAATTAATTAATTATTTTTATTTTTGGCTGCCTTGGGTCTTCGTTGCTGCACACGGTCTTTCTCTAGTTACAGCAAGCGGGTGCTACTCTTCGTTGAGGTGTGCGGGCTTCTCATTGCGGTGGCTTCTCTTGTTGCAGAGCGCGGGCTCTAGTAGTTGCAGTACGCGGGCTTAGTTGCTCCTTGGCATGTGGGATCTTCATGGACCAGGGCTCGAACCCATGTCCCCTTCGATGGCAGGAGGACTCTTAACCACTGCACCACCAGGTAAGTCCCTTGGCTTCTTTTCTTTTATTCCCCTTTATTATAGTTATTTAGTTACCAAAGCCCACTTCAAAATATTTCACATATCCATTGCAACCCACTGTATTTTATTCAGCTTTTCTTCATTCTTGCCTAGGCCACCTCAAACTTCTTTGTTTGCGGTTTTTGTTTGTTTGTTTTTGGCTGCACCGTGCGGCATGTAGGATCTTAGTTCCCCCACCAGGGATCAAACCCATGCCCCTAGTAGTGGAAGCGCGAAATCTTAACCACTGGACCACCAGGGAAGTCCCCATAAATTTATAGTTAACTCTTAAAAATCAGGTAGTGTTAAGTCTTCCAGCTTAGTTCTTTTTCAAAATTGTTTGCCTATTCCACATCCTTTGCATTTCCATACAAATTTTACAATCAGTTTATCAATTTCTATAAAATCCTGCTGGGATTTTGGAGGGAATGCAATGAATCTGTAGGTCAATTTGGGGAGATTTGAACTCTAATATTATTTAATCTTTCAATCCATGAGCATGGTCTCTTCATTGATTTCATCTTTAATTTGTTAGTGATGTTTTGTAGTTTTCACTGAACTAGTTTTTCCACATATATTGTTAAATATATCTCTAATAATTTTATGGTTTTAATGCTATTGCTTTTTAAATGTCAACTTCCCATTTTAAATTTTACTATATAGAAATACAACCAATTTTTGCATATTGACTTTGTCCCCTGCAACCTTGCTAATCTCACTTATTCTAGGTTCTTTTTTGGGGGGGGAGTAGGTTCCCTAGGATTTTCTATAAACATGGGCATGTCACCTGCATTTGACTAGAACTGTTCTAAGAGTGAGCACTGGTAATTTGTGCCAAAACTTCGGAATTAAACTGATAAACCTCTAGCTATGGCCCACAACTCTAGAGACCATAACTACAAAAGAGAAGTCCCTATACTGGTAACGGGTGTACCTTCCTCTGTGCTATGAGCTGATTAGTGCCTTCCAAGCTCCCTCTGGTTGTTGGCAGAATTTATCATCTTGGGGACTTCCCTGGTGGCAAAGTGGTTAAGAATCCGCCTGCCAAGGCAGGGGACGTGGGTTCGATCCCTGGTCCGGGAAGATCCCACATGCCACGGAGCAGCTAAGTCTGTGCGCTACAGCTACTGAGCCTACGCTCTAGAGCCGGTGAGCCACAACTACTGAGCCCGTGAGCCACAACAACTACTGAGCCCACGCCCCTAGAGCCCGTGCTCCACAGCAAGAGAAGCCACCACAATGAGAAGCCCACACACAGCAACAAAGAGTAGACCCCATTCGCCACATCTAGAGAAAGCCCGTGGGCAGCAACGAAGACCCAACGCAGCCAAAAATAAATAAATTAATTAAAATAAATAAATTTATCATCTTGTGGCTGTAGAATTGAGGTCCCCATTTTCTTGCTGGCTGTCAGCAGAGAGCAGCTCTCAGAGCATAGCCATGGGGGCTTCTCCAAAGGCCCTCTTACAATATGGCAGCTTACTTCGTCAAAGCCTGCAAGCAGTCTAGCCAACTCTTACAGCTCTCAACTCTGGCAGTTGATTGATTTATTTTTTTTATTTTTATTATTATTATCATCTTTTTTTTGGCTGCTCCGGGTGGTATGTGGGGATCTTAGTTCCCTGACCAGGGATCAAATTCATGCCCGCTGCAGTTTAAGTGCGGAGTCTTAACCACTGGACTTCCAGGGAAATCCCTGACAGTTGATTTATATTTTTTTATACCACTACACAACTGTTTCTTATTATATGCATTCACATGTTCAATACTTGCTTAGAAATAAATGAATTAAGAGGAAGCAAACGGAGAACAAATGAGTGCTTTAG